AAAAAAAAAAAAAAAAAAAAAAAAAAAAAAAAAAAAAAAAAAAAAAAAAAAAAAAACCATTAGGAAACCGGAAGTTACCGATACCATACCCACCCTACAATGGAGCAAAGCAAAAGTCCGAGTGCGTCGAACCTCGAAGGTCGAGATCGCTGTCCCATAGGCATATACACATTAACGTTTTATGTAAGAAATAGAAGAGGAGCACAGCCTCTTTCTCGCTTGCTTCCAAAAATATCGCCCAGTGCCGCGCACCAGCTCGGCTTTCCAAGTCCATCACATCACGCGGACGGATATAGAGCCTACCTACGTACCCTATACGCTCTCACACGTCACACACGCAATTACTTCGCTTCGCGTCCTGAGGCTTACGCGTGTATGCTCCAATATAATGCAACATCCACGTGGTGCAGTGGTTACAACGTGCCAAATCCTTTTTTTGGGAGTCCTGATGCTTTTCGGAGGAACATTTTTTTTTTTCCATCAACTGTCTTTGAGAACGAATGAGAAGTCTTGGACGTGCAACAAAGTTGGTAGGTATGGAGTATTTTTTCATACTTTTACGCAAAAAAAAAAACAAAAAATTTCCTCCATCGTTATAAAATAAATTATTGAAATAAAATGTTGTTGTATAGTTTATTTATAATAAAAAAGGCTGGAAAAAGTACATCACGTTCAGCCTTACCGTAAGTTTAAAAAGTTTCTTGTACTCCACGAGTCCTTGAAAAGGAAATTTTTCATAGCTTAGAGGGACATTTTGGTAGATATTTCCATGAAATCGGTCATTCAATCACTAGTTAACATTTTAGACGAAATAATGTCGAGTCATGACATTGCCTCTTGACTTATTGGCTTCATTCCGATTTGATGCATATCAAAATGATTGGAAGTTGCGTGTCACCCCTGTTATGTATATTTTATGTACGGAGTACATGAATTATTGAGACTGAGAAACCCGAGCAGTTTTTCAATGATGTATGTTCTTGTTGTTTCGCGTGCAAATTGTATAAGAGTCAAAATACGTAAAATCGTTGAATTTTCAAGTACATTGTACGTGACTTGTTTCTGTTTTTGCTGACTCGACGATGTGCCCGACCATACCTAGCTGTTACTACTAGACCATTACTACTACTTGTTGGCCAACGTGCTATTTTAGGGACTATCGGCCATAGAAATCTCATTTGCACGCTTTGTTTGTGTTATATTTTTGATCATCTATGTAGGTACACACACATATATATATACACGTACATAAAGCTGCATCGGCGAGAGGTCGTAAACCAGTTTCGACGGCTATATTTTCCTAGCCGGCCAGCTTTTTTTACCGAGATACTGTAAATCATTTGGTTTTTTTTTTTTTTTCATTATTCATCCATAATTCAGGAGAATTGTTGTTACGTGCGAGTGCATATACACGCTGGGGAGTACTTGTTTTGTTTTAATGAAATTAATAACAATGTACCTCATTCGTGTATTAACGTGTTGATATACAATTATTGTCAGTTTGATAATAATTGGATTACTCAATTAATATAATTGTACGTACAGTAGTAGATATGCTAAATTAACTTTGTTTCGATTGATGGAACAAAATTAAATGTATTTTAGAGTTATTGATATTTGTAATATATGTGAATTGATGATATGTTAATTCCGTTTAGATCGAAGTAGTATTTGTCAACCAAAAAATGTTGTATTTCTATCAAAGTGGGGAAAATTCAACTATTTTACAAGAAACAAACTATCACATGAATCATCGTTAATGGAATAATCATTCGTTATGGTTCTAAATACATTTTTTTCGTGTTGTAAAATTTTCAGAATTTTCTTATACTGTAAAGAAAATCTTTAAAAAATTGCTTTTCGTACATTAAGTATATCTTTTGTATTTAATACATATCAATCGATGTGGTTAATAATTTTTTATGGCTCAGTTATTAATATATGCTTAATTCTGAATCAGATTATAATAACTTTGATGATAAATCAAGTATATGTTGT